TCTCAATGATTTTCAAATCATYATAAATCCYCTAAATCTTTCAAACATATTGTCATAACTCATGAAGTCGTAAATGTATATCCTTTTAACAGATGAATAGCTTAAAATTGCTATTTGATATCTAGTATAAAAAGAATCCAAGAATATTCTGCTCAGAAATTTTAAATTAAAAATGCATCGCAAGAACTCAAAAAATGATAACGATTAAAAATATTAACAAATATTACGTCTTGAAAATGTTGTTGTGTAATGAATTCAAAAAATATTTTAAAGATTATATTCCAAAAACGTTGTTACAGTTCGAAACGACAATTGTTTGCTTTTTAAGTAATCTTACAGAAATATATAACCTAATGCCTAACTATTAACGAAATTCGTTGCATACTCGTATATTATAGTTGCTTTAAGTGGCGTCCTAAAACTAGTTGGATAAATCACATTAGGTAGTTTGATTTCACACTCCGCGAGGCACGAGTAGGCGAAAATCCGTATGTTACAATAGTATTATMATCTAACACGTCTGTGAACAATAAGATAACAACAATAATTCGTATAATCATGTTAAATGCAATKAATTTATGAAATGATTTGATCCTGCTAGTGTGGCAATTTTCCGACTATTTTTATTTTACAAAACAGTTTTACCGTCTTATAGAGGGTGTCACGAGCCGAAGAAATCATTGAACGATCATAATTTATCTGCTTAACCCGAAAATATTAACAGTTAACTCGATATTATACGTGTTATTCTACTCTATACATATTATAAAACTGAACGTGGCACAAAATGTGATAAAATATTTAACGATATACTACTAACCTTATTTATTCTATTTCCGCAAGTCTTCAAAATAATAGTATCCATACCTAAGGGTATCTAACAGCTTCTTTGTGAAGTTGACAAGATGATAAATTAAATGTCTCATTTAATTTTATACCAAAATTTTGTTTTTGTAGTTAGCAAAATTATTCAATAATCTATGTATCTAGGTTTATTAGCCTGCAAAGGCATACCAATGGGATATTTTTTGTTGATATGAAAAACCTATAAACATTAAACACTTTAATAATCTTAATTCTTAACTATGAGTTTTATGAAATCTGTCTCAACCGCTACGGATAATAGGGGGTAGGTAATGTAACTCTGTCACGTTTATGAACGATAATTTTATTCCATTAGAAATTGGAATAGTCTAATTAAATTATAATTATTTTGAATTACATATTGTACAATAAAAATGTATAAATATATATTTATTGTGTTGATCACATAACATCGTACCACTGTCCATAAACTATACATCATAATCACATACGTCTAAACAAATTATCTACACAGTTAATGTCAGATATATTTCTTATTCACTTATTCAGTTCACGCGTACAAATAACAATATTTGAAGATTTAATAACGTAAAAACTGAATTTTTTTGACAGAAATTTCAATTTGATTATTAAATGGAATATGTTTTGAATGTTTAACAAATAACACTAAAGTGAAGCGAATAAAATTTATAACAAAATGTGTACATACGTATGACGTACGTTTATATAATATAATTTTGTATACATGTACTAGAAATGTATGTTAATATTATACATATAAATAGAATACTTAAATGTATAATTGGCTTCTTAACGATAATACTGACTGCCATTAGAAGTATTATTAATAATTACATTTTTATCTTAATATTTTAAAATATATTACATACCTGTATACAAGGTGTAACAGGAAGACCTGACAAAAAAWAAAATAAATAAAAAAATATGCTTATTAAATGTATGACAAAAATTTTTAATATTACATGATAAGTAAATAATTTAAGAAACATACTCATGTCAGCTAATTCTCAAAAAATTTTAAAAAAGTTATTGCATTCCAAATTAATTTAACCAAAAACATAATGAATTTTAAGAAATAAACTACTTTACTTAGATAAATCATTTTACCATCAAAATTATTCTTATAATCAGATTCACAAATAGGCTGTTTTAAATTTATCCGAAATTTTTTTTATTTTCAGTACTAAAAAATAAACATAAAAAAATGTATTATACATGTATGGGAATAACGATAGGTCAACAGCGCATACAAGTATACTTGGCTTTGCTGATGATCTAAATATCTTAGAAAACTCCCTAGTAGATACGGAAAGAGCAGCGCAAGTGCTCGAACGAGCAGCCAGTAAAATAGGTCTAAAAATGAATATGGATAAAACAAAAATAATGGAACTACTAGGTGAGGAGGAGGACAACACTGATACGGGATCCCTAGGTTTCGAAAAGGTTAGTGAGTTAGGTGCAGTATTGAGTAAAAACAATGATTGGGCTAGGGAAATAGGTTTAAGGTTAGTAAAAACAGAAATAACAGCTTTCGCTCTGAATAAATTCTTAAAGTCAAAAGTATTCTCCAAAAAAACGAAAGCAAGACTGTACACAGCAATAATAAGACCCATACTCACATATGGGAGCGAGGCATGTACTACCACAAGCAATACCGAAAGAAAATTAAGAACTTTTGAGAACAAAATATGGAGGGTAATATGTGGACTAGTGTATGATAATGAAAAAGGAACATGGAGGAGAAAATATAATAAAGAGCTGCAGGAAGAAATGGAAATGGCATCAGTAGTAAGCTTTATGAAGGGACAAAGGATTCAATGGCTGGGCCACATGTGGCGGCGTAGCGAAGATGATATAAATAGAGTACCTAATCCTGGAATGGAAGCCTACGGGAAAAAKACCTCGAGGACGACCAAGGAAAAGATGGTTAGACGGAGTGGAAGAGGACCTACACAGAATGGGAGTCCAAGATTGGAAAGAGTTAGCCCAGGACAGAGACAAATGGAGGGATTTAGTGATGGCGGTGAAAACTCTTAAAGAGTATTAGGGCCGTATGAAGAAGAAGAAGATACATGTAGTGCTAGGTTCTCAAAAAAAAAAATATTAATTTGAACAAAAGTTATTGTGTAACCTATCTGTTACACCTTATAGTAATATTATAATGTGAAAATTGTTAACGAGTAAGAATACGACACAATATGAGWAGGTACAGAGATCAACATTACCTAAGTAATAAGAATAATAAATCTAGAGTGAATTTGAAATTGATTATGACACGAAACTGGTTTTAGTTCGTGCATAGTTTATAGTTTTACTTGGTAAAATACCTAAAATGTAGTAAAAATATTATAAGTTATAATATCGGCACAAAAGTCTCGAGAAAAAAATGTTTTCTTATTATTGAACTTTAATTCTAAATGGAACAGTAGCTACCAATAATGTTTAAATATCGGTAAATTAATGGGTATATTATGAACTTGTTATAGCTAAAAAGATAAATAGAAAAGGTTTTCAAAGATAATAATGATTCCTATTTTAACAAGCACACAACCGTATTAAATAGTTTTTAAAAGTTCTTTTTATGTACATTTACATCTGTAGGTATTCAATTTACATAATGTATACCTTTAAAAGATGAATAAATAAATGTCTATACTTCTAACTACTTAAAGTTTTAATGAGCTTGTAAAAAGCTGAATATAATACTTAACAAATATTTTGTTTTTATCATTGAAACACTCTAAATAAAAAGAACACAAAAAATAAATAAACATTATTCACCAACATGATCTACTTAACATGAAATTATTTATAAAATATTCCATTCTAAACTAATCGGTTATGATCACTAAAAAAATAAAATTGATTTACTTAAAATCATTCATAAAAAAATGTACTGTCAACATTTTGAGGGTGCAATGATATTGAAACAAAATCTAAATATTTAAAAAAAAAACTTTAGTTAACGTTTAAGATTGTTGAGAACTATAATAAATTGACTGAACAGCTGTTTCTTATAAATATTAAGCTATATAAAAAATGTAATGTATAATATTTATGCAATCTAACAAAGTTACAATCAGTTTTCTTAATTATACAACATTTCAGTTATGAATTACTTTGAATGTCTTTCGCCATTAAAAATATTTTTAATTAAACTTACGATTATGATTAGTAAACTAAAATTAATTTGAAACATAATAAATGCAATTATAAAATTTTTATATAAAAACATATTTGTTGTAGAACATTGCTCTCTGAAGTTTTTAGTATCTATTAAATATGACAAAATAAAATACAAATAACATTGTACGAATAACGAGGACAAGTATCTATCTAATAATTTAATGTAGGTAATAATAAAAACTAAATTTTCATTCAATAACCTAATGTTAGTACTTAGTAGACATCTAGACATATTATATAAAAGATAAAATGAATAAAATTAAATAGGTAATGAATTAGTACAAGCGATGTAATATTTAGATATATATGATATAATAATATTAAAGTGAAAGGCGCATTGAACTAAAACTACCCGATATGGTATCACCCACTCCCGAGACGACCAAAAAACTCCTCAATTTCGTCAAATCAACAGAACTGCGTCAACTGATTTGAATATTCTAACTTAGATTAAAATTTAAATCTTTAAATATAGGTAATAAGTAGAAATTAAGCAAGTATGTAAGTAATTAATGTAAATTTAATATGTAACGTCGGCTAATAACCATGTTTTTTTTTTNTTTTTTTATTCATAAAGTTTTACTGACGAATGTCATCTTAACTTACTGTTAATAACATTATTTTTTTTAACATTTAGAAAATAAATAACAATTAAAAAAAAAAATACATTAGTGATATAAGATAATAACCATGTAGTTAATGCCATAAACAATTAATAAAAATAAAATAATATTAAATTAAGATAGGTACTTGAATTTGATAGATATTAAATAAAATTCTAATTTTTAACAAAAATGTTTTCTTATTTTATTTTTAGTAAAATGTGTGTGGTTAAATTTATTTCAATTACTTATTTAAAACAAAAAGTCATTATTGTTGTAAGTATTTTATTTGAAAACGAAACTTGATTTTGAGACATTTTTTATTTAAGTTGATATTAATAATATTATATATTTGAGGTAATATTATGACAATATTGTTTGATTCCCATTCATAAAATAAAATATAAATAGAGACACTTAAATGTAATAGTTCAAAATCGAAATTATTATTGTTATGAATAAAATGACAAAAGTCGTGTTGAATCAAAAAAAAGCATATACAGAAAAAAAACCATCAGTCGAAACGATACATTTAATATTTTAGAGAGAATTGTTAATGGTTTGTCGTTTGTCGGCTAAATAAAATCGCTGGTATTTTATTTTTTGCGCCATTTTACGTTGTAGATTATCTAAGTATATATAATTTTATCAATATCTCCATTGCTCCATTAGGTACTTGCTATAACACATTACGTACGTTGATAGCTTTAGAGATTTAAACGGTAACAGATCCTTATCAAAGATTCGTGACCTCGTTTTCGTTTATGTACTCTTGAGCTAAATAATTACACTTTTGCTGCAATGCAACGAGTTTGTATACACAGTGAAGTCATAACGCATAAAGTAACGTTAAATTTACAATATGGCAGTTTTAATTCGGAGAAAATTTAATATCGTAATACGTTGCCTTTAAATAACGGTATGCTTGCTACTAATTTTAATTAAAACTTACTATCGTTTAATAATACGTATACCGATTAATATTTGGACTATTTCCAAAATATATTATTTATACACTCAGTCGGGAAGTTTTTTAAAATAATAATGATAATAATAATATTATAGTCCTTATAATATTATGTACGTCAACAGGTATGAAAAATCATTATAAAAATCGTGGAAAAATCGCACGACGAATAAATTTGGAAATAATCAAGGAGTGATACGTGCACTTATAAATAGTCATGTGATTATCAGAAAACTAACGTCATATAACGACGAATGGATTTCGTCATTCGGTCGGAGAGCTGACCGAATAATGACTACGAAGAAGGTTTTCTACTATTTTAACCCGTTAAATATTTTTAACGCTATACATAATAATACATTATAAATAATGTTAAATGTTTATTAAAACGCATTATCTATACCTAATATAATACTAAAATATATATTATTATCAATATATCTTCTAATACAATGTGTAAGCGATTTCCGCACAACCCTAAAGCCTGCAGATGAGCGTATGTTATGACTGTTAGTGACAACCGTCTGAGCGCATTTTGTAAATTTAATAGACCGTTTGTGCACGTAAAACGTCATAATGTTTTTAACATAATTTACTGTTTTTAATTATAAACAATTCTGTAATAGTTAATAATGCGTAACTACGAAATTTGTATTGTTAATAAAATATGAACTATTATAAATTTTTTTGTAATTGATAACAGTACCTAAATAATATTATATATAAATATATATAATGTATATATACATATAGACTATAAATATAGCCATTATCTGCTTTTAGGTCTACTAGACTTATTTATGTGGACGATTKGTTAGAACAAGTAAGTCTGGCAAGGATTTGTCACTAAGAACTCAGTGGTCACTTATCGTGGAACTATAGTGACACCGTCCTAGTTGTACTGGCACTCAGAAGACGTTTGTAACTGAATCCAGGTTAGGTTAGGTTAGGTTATTAAATTGTATTATCTTAAAGCAGTCTTAACGCTGTAATTACCTACTGCAAGAGGCGAAATATCAAAAACAGACGCAGACGGTTGAAGATCCATCTATTAAGACATGAACAAAGTAATTATAATATTATCATAATATCTAACATATTGTTTAAAACAATTTTCACGCGAAAATCACATACGATATTCACGGTTCTTAATTTCKTATAGTATATAGGTAGGTACCTATAATCTATATATTATAATTTTATTATTATACTCGACGACTCACGTACATGATAATATTAAWTTATTATTATTATTATWTTACATATTACGTATGTTATTTAACAAGTTCCTTGCGCGCGTCGTCACTCGGACTCCTCTTCGTCCTCGTCCTTGATGATACCCAGGTGACGGGCCACGGTCTTAACATTACTGATGACCTCCTCCTGGACAAGGTTAAAGCTCATTGCCAACAGGGCGATGCCAAACAGCAGGTACAGCGAGCAGAACCATATGCGCAGCTTGGTGTCGTCACCCTTATTCATCACTCGCTGGGCGGGCACAAAGTCACCGAACCCGATTGTGGTGAGCGTTATGAAGCAGAAGTACGCTGAGTCCGGAAACTCCCAGTTTTCCCAGCTCTTGAACAAGAACGCTCCCATGATTATGTAGCTGACCACCAGAAGCACGCACAGCCATATGGGCACGGGCTTGATGTGATCCGGGTTGTTGTCGTCGAAATCGTACGGCTCGGCGTCGTCGTGGTAGTCGCTGTACCGGGTCGACCGCCGGGGGTACTGCCGGTTCACGGCGAAACCCAGTGGAGACATGATCCGCGGGCTGGGCGCCATCACTTCCAAACGTTTGCCTGCAAAACGACCGGGATCAGGGGTAAGAAAAATATGAAAACCAAAAATAAATCAACTGTTTGAAATATTATATAGTCGTCGTCACGAAAAAACAATCTATCATATTTTAATATTCATATTCATAATTCATATAATAATTTTAAAAAAATCATGCGTACACGTTATACACGATTGTTTTACGTTCCCAAAATGTTAGCGACGAATCCTTATCCCAAATACATGTGTTTCTCAACTAACCGTAACTCCCATATACACAAAGCTAATGACCATAGTTGCTGATGCTTAAGATCAATTTATAAATATATTTACTATGAAACAATGTATATATGGTATTAAGGTAGGTATTTTGTGTATAACTGTGTGCAGAAAATAATATTATTATTCACATGAAATTTCAGCGCGATCGTTCAAATTGAGTGTACAATATTATATGGATAAGTAGCTGCTAGCAATAAAATAGAAATTGCATTATCATTATAATATATTGCATAAACAAATGTATACAAATTACATTAATATTAAGTTTTTAAAATTTAAAGAAGGTTTTAAAAAAAGCTACGCGTCTTATCGATGAATTTATTTATAGACATATCAAGTTTATTTTACAAATTACTTGTAAACAATAGTATACATATGGTTTGGATGTTGAATTTATGTAATTAATTGTCTTAAAATATTTATTTACCCTACAAGTTTCCGTTATAGTATCATAAATTTAATATTATATAAATTAGTATTAAAACCATTGACATTTTTCATATATGTATGATTAAATTATATGTTTAGTTTATACCAAAAAACGTATGAAAAAAAAAAATTTTAAATTACCATACTAGAATTTTATCCATGAGAGGAAGCCTCGCCGGGACTATGGAATATAAATTATTTTAACATTTCCTAACTTTACATCTAATGTTCATCTATACTCCGAAATACCACCAAAATAAATTAACTAATATCTCACATAGGCCTCGTATGCTGAAATTTCATAGGTATTTTTTGTGGAGTGGTGGATAATTTTGCACATAAGTGAATATCACGGAGGTAATTCCACTCAAATCAAAAATCATTTAAAACGACGGAAATTTCAGTGGAATTTTACTATCTAGTCTAGAAGTGTTAGTAAACTTATAACCATAAACGCTGCGTACGTGTTTGTTTTATATGTAATGAAGTTTTACATGTATATATTATTATATAAAAATAAATAAAAATACAATTGTTGTAATATGTACACTAAAATAAAATTGTTGATAGTTTTTATTTCCATGCGAATTCATTTTTACAAGAAACTTGTTTAGTTTCGATTTTATTTTATCTCTTTTTAGTAACATTTTCATTTTACAATTATGTATATGAGAATCGGTACACATGAATATTTGCTTTTATTCAAATAAAAACTATTGAAATAAATATCACGAACTTATTCGAACTTTATTCATAATATTGTAATACTATCATAAAATATATATTATACCTTCAACCCTTTTTGCTCTTAAAGATAATCATTGAATGTTTTTAAGTTCTAAGTACGTTCGTATATTGCATAACTTGTCTTTTGATGAATTGAATAAACTTCGAATGGCAAAAACATGACGTCTTTACCGAAGTATAGCATAATAATTACATGTAAAATATAGGTTAAATAAATAAAGTTTAGACTATGGATAAAGATAAAACAAAACGTAAGTAAAATTTAAGCGAAATCGAACTATATATATTGTATACACATAATACGTATAGGTACTTAAAATTTATCACAGATGTATATTTTAAAAGCAGTAAGCACATCACCTAATGTGCATATTAAAATGTTGAACATTATTCATACGTTTSCATTTGTACACCAAACTGTAGGTTCGTGTTTACGAATCCTACTAGCATAAACACTTACCATACAGTTGAATCTACAAAGGTATTACATGTATATTTTATGATTACCAGCGATTCTAAAAATGCGTCATTCTTGAAAACGAAAAATAATTCAGAACCTTTTAACTCCTATACGATATAATTAAAACAGCACATCCGTACACGGTTATATTTACTTTAACGCAATAATATAACATAATATTATACTATAGTATGAYGTGTAGGATAATGAAATAGTGCATATGTGCCGTGAACCACTGTTTTCGTGTTATTTTTTTCCCCCAACAAATAACAGCAGCAAATGGTGGTAAAACCCAAAAACCTAATCCTAGATATTGAGCGATACCCCCGTGTATTGGCAAGTCGCGTAAAAACATTGGACTCGCGCTATTTATACCGTTCTATTATGTTCACCCCCATACCACGCCTTAGGGGGTTTTATTTTATTTTCCCGCTCTGCAGACTAATAATGCCCTGGGAAACTCTGCGCCCGAGATTTAGTAACGATCGCGGTCGTTAGGGGGTGTGTATGCAAGAAGCAATAGTGAAAAGTGGAAAGTAGTCCTTGAGATTTTATTGTATATATTCTGTCCCTAGTTGTTCAGGGGAACTTAGACTATGTTTTGCCAAGCAACCGTCGCCGATACTTCACAATATTATTCGTTCTGCTACGCATTTGTATCACTTAAACTTCCGAAACCGTGGAATAACATCCATACATGGTACATCGTTTACGAGTGTAATGCGCTTTTGAATTCATTATATTACTCTTGTACACCACAATGATGGATTTTTTATTCATCAGTGAAATTTGAGATTTTTGATTATATATCCATGCACTTTTGAGTCTATATCTAAGACCTAACCACGTAAAATTGAACAAAAAAGATTATTATTTTGGGACGAATAATATCTAACGTGATCCAATCGAAAACCATGCGTATTGTATTGTAAAAGAGTTTTATTTAGAGATCAATAAGCCTACAAACATAATAAAGTTATATCAATGGTTTTTTTCATACAAAATTACTAAGAACGCTATTATTAGAAAGTTGAATATGATATGGTGTTTTGTTTTTAATTATCAAAATGTTGTCATTCGAAATAAAAAAAATACGTTTTGAACGTACATTTTTGTGCAAAACTAACAACTACACTGCTGTAGTCGATATATAACTACAAAAAATGTACTCAACCACATCATCGTCATGTGAATTACTATTTACTCTCAAAACGTATGCTCTGTGAAATGCTTTGAAATTAGTTTTCATAGACATATTTAAACCTAATATATTAAAAAATAATTAAACATTTATTTTTAGTAAGCCATTTAATTTAAACTGACTTTTTTTATCAAAAAAAATTAACAGTTACCATTGCCTATTAGTTATTGATAAAGGTACCGATTATCATTCATGGTTATGTATTATCATCGCTGAATTATTATTGTGCATTTATTTCTACAACATATTAACCTTAGTTTTTCACAAGGTTTATAGATAATATTATCTATCTCTATATATGTATCACTATAATACTATACAGTATAGGAAATAATGATGTTGAAAAATTATCGAGTTTTAAATAAAAAATAAATATTTTATTACATTTTAGTTTTAGTTAGATTATTTGTCAGTAAATAGGTTCATAGTAAATGTCCAGGGAGTGGTTGCCCTGTCGCTCCCCTCCCCTTCTATAAGTAGTAATGTTAAAAAGAGTTTATCGCTGCGAAACTGAATAATATAGTATATAGTATTATAATTATTGCAAAGTTATTAAGAATACTTAACTATAGATTTTCAACGTGGAAAAAATTTGTTTTGGATTTATGATGAGGTAAAGTAAGTATAAATATGATTTCAAGATGTACAAATATAAAAATATGTAAATGAAAAAAATTTCATACACTTTTTAGCACCTACTACCTATAATGGCTAAATTGTATACTTAAAATATTCATAATATAATTTGATATTATTAATAGACCCTTAAAGAAAAAAATAATACTGATTAAAAACGGCCTCGTTACGAAACGCGTCAGATGCAGTGTTTTCGATGAGTAATTATGTCGTATCATCGGCACCGGTAGCGGAGGCGCTCGCAATTAGTTCCGTTGGCCGCCGATGATTTCTTCCGGTCGGAAACTTGCGCGCAAACGTCCGATTATGAGGCGGTGGAATAGCAAACGTCCGTTCCGGCCCAGTCCTCATTTGAATCCGGTCCGAAATGTCTGTTATAACTACACTCACATAAACTATAAGATATGCAAATTTTTTTCAGAAGATATTATGGATGAAGAAGGACATGTCTGTTTTGATTATTTGAGTTTTACGACAAAAAACTTTCGCGAAGCAGCGATATTTTAGGAGTCCACAATTAGAATAATACGGTATAATATAATATAGTAATGACAGTCACAACTGTTTTCGTAGTTCACGTGGTAATAGAAGAACATAATAGCCCCCACCGAGCAAGAGAACAGTTAGTGAGCCAACTAAAGTTTCTGTGTGTTTTTGTCGTTTTCGAATTTCTCATCGTAATGCACCCTTACCCCTCCACTGACTAAGAATACTTATCGTGACTTACTCTGATTGGAATTCCGATGTCTCGAACGGAATTTTGGTTTCGGGTAGTAATCCTGGTCGGGATGGTCCATTGGCAGCATGTCCACGACCAAATGCTGAGGTGTTTTGCTTCGGCTGTTCGTCCGCAAAGTACCTGATGGAGTTTCTGTAGCTAAATTAGGAGCAGCCGAGTGACCCCGAATGTTCCGACGAATCTCTTGGCTTTGCTTCGGATGAACTGCAAAAACAGACAAAACGGAAATAATATTCGTTTATTATGCACATTCTAAAAAACACATGGGCGCCGACCACGACCAGACGACGAGAAACAAGACGATCATGGTTCACGACGAGTCAACACCACCGTGAACAAGCGATATTAAACCATTATTATAATAATATTATTAATATAAATCAGCGAAATAACTACGTGTTGTGATTGGCAAATAGTACCTACTATAAGGCCAACTTCACAGACGTCCGATTATAAGTTAATATTTTTTCCGACGCAAGAATAATTGACATTATGCTAACAGCTAAATTTTATTATTATTTATTATATACGAGTCAAAATTAGCAGAAACAGAAAGACATCAGCACATAGAAATCTGTTATCGAAAACTGTTGTTACCGTTTGAAAATAAAAAATGTTTTTATAACATATGTTTTACAACAAATCAAACATTTTCATCGACTTAAAAATCAAATTCAAAATATTTATTTCGTTATTTCAGTCAAAATCTTTAACATCACTCTTCTAATTATTTGAACATACTGCGGATATATAGCATATTTAAATATTTTACTGCATGTATTAATATAAAAATATAATTATACGTTATGTGTACAAGATACGTATACTAGATTTGGCATGAAAATTGCATGGTGTTAGGGATTTATATTCTATTTTTTGTTTGCCAAAAAATTACATCATTTCAGACAGATGTCATCTATCGTACTGAATTTTAAACACTACTGTACAGCTATGTAGGTAAATAATAAGCCATTTGTATTGCTGCTTGAGTGTATATATTTTTTGGCCCCTTATTTTGTATAAATGTATAATATGTTCAGAAAATTGTTTTAGTGCATCGAATTTTTCCTCCCAGCTCTACAACGCGTAATTTCACACTAATTTAATTCCGAAATTTTTTTTTCTTTAATACACTTTGGCCAATTTATTTTGTATTCCATTCAACGGACTGGGCATCGGTTCAATTCAGTATCAAAACATACAACTTTTTTAGGTTCATTACCGAGAGTACCGAATACTTAGAACAACTTCCGTTATAAAAATGTTAAGTTATTTTGTTCACTGAACCGATAAGATCCACAGTTGTAGCATTACTGTCGCTTTTAACGATATTTCTCCCGGGATGAGCCCTATTTTCCGCCGAAGTCATACGGAATGACGGTATCATTTACACTATAATGATTATGAAAGAAAACTCTTGGATCCCATAAATGAAGATCGGATAGGTGGGCATTCCGGAAAGCTTAACATCGCTAGATTTTTCAACAGCGTTAACAAGACGTGACTATTATTATGACGCGCTATAGTAATATATTATAATAGTTCAATTTATAATCGTATTAATGTGTTATGTTATAGAGAGTTTTTGTTCAATTTCTGCCGGTTTAATTTCAAACTCTTATTGTAATCCTTTTCTACTTTGTCTCATCACTGTTCTTGTCGTCTTAATGATCCTATCGACACGACAAAAGTACACCTATGTGTGAGCTACACATATCGCGCGATTCACATGTCATTATATTGGATTGAGTGAGCCACGGAAATGCTATTGTCTATGAATATAAAACGATTCCTATCGTATTATAAACAAGTTTTTATATATATGTAACATTTTAAAATCAGTGGACCCATCCCATTAAATAGTTTAAGGTAAATCAATAATACATCAATAGCAATTTATATTTGTACTTTAATTTTAAATTATAAACACTTACACAAGGTAAAAAAAAATTATACGTATACCTATACATTTTTAGTATACATTTTTACACAAAATTCGTAATGTGTTTATAATCAGTATAATAATTTAAAAATCACACGTTAGTGTAATAACTAAAAAAATGACGTCAATTTCAAGCATATTGATACTGATGCATCAAAAACCGGAAATAGTTCTGTTATAGCCATTATTGCTCCTAATTAAAAAAAAAAAAATAATAATAATATGCAATAATTACAGCATATTTTCTGCCGAAATGTTAGCAATATACACAGCTATAGAATACATACAAAACTCTCAACTACCCAATAACTATGTCATATTCACCTACTCATTAAGCTCCGTAATGTGCTTAAGTAGCCATGAAAACATCAACAGTCTTAAATCAAAAATAATAGAAACAGTAAATAACTACGAAAACAAAATAACCATTGTTTGGATACCTGGACACAGCAACATAGAAAGAAATGAAAAAGCAGATTACCTAGCAAAAGAAACAGCCAACAATATGATGGCAAAAATAAGCGAAATACTCTGCACCTATGACGACATGCAAAGATGTATAAATTCTACAATTAAAGAAAAATGGTCATTCAAATGAAGAAGAAAAGTAACTAAACTCAGCGAAATAAAGCATACAACAGAACGTTGGAAAAACATTGCTAATCTTAATAGAAAAGACGAAGTAATATTAACAATACTAAGAATATACCATACTCGCTACACACACGGCTAACTAATGAACCGAGAAGAAAAAAAAGAATGCGCATCATGTGGAGTCCCCCTAACAATCAAGCATATTTTTATCAAATGCAGATAAACTGAAGTCGCCAGAAATAAGCATAACATTCCAGAACATCTATACGAATCACTTGGCCCAAACATTGAAACCATCACAAAAACTCTAAGCTTCATCAAATAGATATACAAATCGAAAATTTATTGTGAAAATTAATCATAATATGTAATGTACAAACAAAATTAGTGTAATAACTAATCTTATGTCATTGTTAATTGTCAAACGTCAGCCAGTGGCCTTAGCTGCCGAGGCTTATTCTAATAAAAAAAAAATAATAATAAAAAATGACTTGAGAATATTCAACTACCTATACATTATGTTATACAGTCCGATAAAAGTTAGGAAAAAAATGTCCCGTAAAAATAATATGTATAGGTTGGTGTCTTTGAAAACAAAAATGAGTCATAATAAAAACAAAATAATTTCCTTGTTGCTCTTTTGCTATACATAATATTTTACGCTAAAATATAATGTGTCTGGATAAGTAATTAAACGAAATAAACGACAAATAAGATTTATACAATCAGTAGGTAAGTTAAATAACTATAATACTCTATTTGACATATTCATTACGAATGTCACTATATTTTTGTTAAAAGCTAAATAATTATAAAGTAGTTTAATGTCATTGGGATTTTCTCAGTTAACTTCGTTTTTTAAACAAATTAGGTAAAATATAGACAGGTGTGAATTTAGCAAAAAAATTTTCCAAGAGAAAATGTACAAAAAAAAATAATATTAATGAGATTTTTGAATAGAAATACTTTTTACTGATATAAACCTATTTAATATTTTTACAAATTTCAGGGTGGTTTACTTTTGTGGAAAATCTCGTGTAATAAATCTTCTTTAATTTTAATTATTTATCCCATTTCCGTACTTAATTCATTTCATGTTAATGCATTTTAATTTTAGGTACATAACTTTGAAATTAAATCAGAATTGCTAAAATACGTCCAGATTGAAGACTTTATGAATTACCAGTTAAATGTATTAAATTTTAATCTTATTTTTTATAAGTTATCAGTAAATTATTAACATAAACTCAATGACTTAACATCATGTACACAACTTTCTATAATATGTATACTATTTCATCTATTATGTGAAAATTTGAAACAAAATAAAAAAAATTCTTATTAATCGTAAATTTGGAAAAATTTTAAATGTTATTAGTTGCCTACAGCATAATACATTTGAAGTGATAGGTAGTAATAGTAAAACAACTATAATTTTATTGTTTATGAATTATATAATTATATTTCATGTCATCGTAATATCCTCTAAATTGTTCTTAAGTCTTTATTTTATCTAATTTATCTTACAGGTACCTACCAATTATTTACGTCTGGTTTTAATTATCAAAACAACCAAACAAATCATCTTTATAAAATAGTGTAAGTGTCATTATGTTATGTAGGAACAAGCAATTGCATTGTTCTACTACAATAAATTATACAACTAAAATAAGAATTGTTGTCGCGAGTAATTTATTTCTTAAATAAAAGGTTAGTAAAATAGAATACATTTGAATAAGCTATACAAAGAGTTTTGGACTTATCTGTGATTTGGCTGTGAAAAACTTAAATTTATAAAAACTTTGGTATGACTTTGTTATAAATAGTATAAATAAACCAAATAGTGAATCACATTTACATATTTATTTACTTACTATTAACATTTCTGATTAAGCTTATCATAATAAGTATATTCAGATTTTAATAAGGATGAAATACGTACTACGTAAAAATCTATATATTAAAATTAATTATGAGCAATTAATAGTTTATGTTTTTGAATACTCTTGATTTATCAAATATTAGTTTGATGATTCAAAATATATTAAATATATTATATTTGGAATAATCAATTTCAAACAATAGCAGCAACAATTCAATACTTTTATTGATTTCAATTTCAATTGGGTTTACTGGTTAATAAGAATTATTAACTCTTCACAAAAATAAAATAAATATAATATAAACTTATAACATTAGTTAGTAGTCAAACTAAATAAAATAGCGTAATGTTAAAAAATATTAATTAAAAGTATGTTAAAGTCGACTACKAGATGAATGTATATACACTGTACAGGTTATCTTTTTGACGAAAAACAGCGCTAACAAGGAATAACTGTAATTTTCTATAGATTAATTAATTATATTATATTAATTACATTATAGACGTTCAGACGTATTATATGTGTATGAACCTTCTACTGAAGCATCTATGAAATGTCTCCGAAATGTAATTATTGTAAATTATTGGATGAATAAGGAAGCTATAATTTATTTACAAGGTTTTTTCATTATGTCTACACACCGTTTTATATAACTGTAGGCCAACAAATAAATTGTATATGTATTATATACACATCCGTATTTATATATAAAATATATTGTTCAGTTAGAAACGTCCAAACTTTAAAATGTCTTAGAACGAACTACATAGGTCCTAGATTAATATCGCGTCTGAGTTTTTAAATTGATATCTTTCTAGGTTAAAAATGATACGGAAAAACATGTAATATAACAGAAGTTTTAAAAAAATGTGTCGAAGTAAATATGGAACCAATTACCAAAAATAATAAATAATATTTAATTATTTTTTTGATTAACCCGCGGAAACATAGGCCATTTGGTGGTTGTTCGTTGTTCTTAGTAAGTTTGTAACTGTGGAGATTAGTAAGGAAGGTAAGCAATACTACATGTATGTGTAGCAAGTTTTTTGGCAAGAACTCAAGTGGTCACCCATCTGGGAATTAGTGGCAGCAGGTATTTCATACTCTCAAATCTCAATCACGTTGCGTGATTGATTGTAGTAACTACGCCGCGCGCCGTGCCACACTTATTAGATATTATTGTTGATAGTATACTCTATGATTGTGTAAATCCTTCATTGATATAACAGATCATGCTTTGAATGACTTAGTACGATGTTATTAATTTGTAAATGAGTAAAAAAAAAATCGTTAAATAACAGAAATTTTTCGAAAACTTACTTCTTCTAGATTCTTCCCTGTCCAGCGCATATTTGTTGAATAAAATCGATGGCACTTGCTGTAGTTCTGGCCCACCTAGTTGATCCCCGTCAGAATAACTTGGATCTAACAAAATGAGAAAATAAATTTAAAATACCATTCGATGATTGAAATAAACCCTATTAATTTTCATTGTCTTCCATAAAATAGTCACATTGATACAGTGGGGTACTTAACTTAATGTCATCGCGATACATTATTAACCCAACACACAATTATATTAATGGTTTTTCCAGTAAAATGACTCAGAATGAGATGGTCTTACATTTTAGAAAATTTTCTTTGAAAATAATCCTTATCCATACTAAACATTTCTTTTGGAAACAAAATATAATAAAAGTAAAACATAAGGTATGTATTGAATAATACTCGATAAGCGAATATTTTAGAATTTTATTATCATCATATATAATATTATAATCATGTTTTTGTTTAATACTAGGGTAATGAAAGTTTTATGAAAAAAATTKCAATTTTCGTGAATATACTATATTGATTATAGTATATAGACGTTAAAATATTTCTTTGTATTCTCATTGGTATTATAAGAATGCTTTCATATCAATATATTATTTATAACTCAGTTTTATGTTATAGGTAACATTATATTATATATTATTACTTTTAATTCTACTATTAGTTATTACTACTATTAAATATATATAGTATCTCACATATTGTAAATCATCATGTATAATAATTTGTATTAAACAAATAACTCGTAAAATATTAAGCAAAGAATTATTGTATACAGGTAGGTATCTCATAAAATATTTTGAATTCATTTTAAAATATGCACGAATTACGCATGTTTCGCACAATGAAATTAAAATACTCAACCATGTTCTTGGATATGGCCAAGCAAAACATAAGTCCTAATTTTAAATTTATAATGTGTATTAATGGTATTATATATAGTATTCATAATACGTAAAATAAACGTTTATTATACTTAATGATATCAACGTGCTACTGGTTTTTACTTCACATTCACATAGGTGTACTCGTACATTCTAGTTTACATTTTGAGAATATTTATACCAATGAAAAGTGTTAGTGAAATGAAAAACTATATCTATTAAGTTTCTATAACTATGTTGGTACTTTGGAGTAAGACCGTAGTTTTAATGTTAGTTTTTAAAGATAATTTACGATCCTGCATTAAAACCAAATTTATTACGGTGCTAATGATTTGTTTAATAACCATGAACATAGTAAACTTTGAAAAATATAAGAAAACATTAAAACAGTATTTAGATCGATCCAACTTTTCTACTTCTTAGCTCTCGGGTTTCTTTGGTTAATATTTATTTTAGCTTCAACAACAATTTTATAAATATAAATTAACAATATATAGCTACTTATATATAGGTACTTACAAAATAAGTTTTAGATTTTACCATGCAATTCTATTTCAAATAATGTTTTTATGAGTTATACCTACATATTATTCTTTTCATTGGGACAATTCAATATTTTTAAAGTTTTTAATATCACAAAATAGAATTTTTTAGACTAGGATAACATTTTTTATACTATAATTTCAATTCGTTCGATGTTATAAGTACATAGGTACTCTATATGTATCAACCTAAACCGTCTTAATGTCACTTAAACCAAAACGGTTATTGGTACAAAATAGTAATAATAGGTGCATATAATATTACATTGATATTTGATATATCTACTAGCATAAAACCAACAATCACGTTTTCTAAGTAAATTATTAATTTGATTTAATTCTGAATTACAAATATTAATATATAATATCAGAATGGATACCTTGTACTCGATATCGCCCGTGGTAATAAGGGTTAGCATTATTTCGGTGACCACTATTTTGACTGGTCGATCTAGGTTTAATAGCCGGCGAGTGCCTTCGTAAAGGTACGGTATCGGAATACCTGGACTGCTGTGAATATCGGTTAGGGGATTTAACGGGCATCCCGCCTCCAAACATGGCGTATTCTCTTTCCATTTTATCGTAATACCTGCAGAAAAAAATGTATAAATATCGTGAAAACAATATAAAAATCAAATGAAGCTACTACTCTATTGGTCTAGAAACATATAGTCACCTGCATTCGGTGTCCGAATAAGAAGATCTAGTGTAACAATCCGACATTCCGAGAGCGCTGTCTGCGGATCTCTGTGATATTCGACCCGTTCTTTTTAGTGACGTGGTTCTGGAACTAGAAAAAATAGATTAACGTAAGAAAAAATGTTTAAAAAAAATATGTTTGGCGGATTACAATGCTTTAGTGTTACAGTGTTTAAATCCTCGTTTTAGAGCTAATTTTTTAAAATAATAGTCAAGTATTTTTTCAGTGGATTTTTACAAAAAAAGATTTGTTGAGTAATCATTATGTTGAGTATTTAATACGGATTAGATAAAAGTACTTTATGCACACGTGATATGTAAGAGCTTAATATGTCTATAAAATAATAACATTTAATGCTAATTTAACAACTATTGTACACGGGAATTCATTGTTCAATTAATCCTACGTTACCCAATTATATAATCCAAATTTTCAAAAATTATAAATTTGCATAATGTATAAGTGATACTATTATAGTAATAATATTATGTACATATGTATAATCCAAAAAAAAGAAAATACAATATCTTAAACTTGAAAATCTGTTATATCTGATAATGAAAAAATATTATTTTGCATGTCACTTCTTAAATAATGTGAATATAATCTCTATTCATCTTATTATATTTCAATGTTTGAGAAATTAAGAGAATGATTTAATTAAAAATATGTTCTTGATCAATTATGTTGACGTAGCTTAATATAATATTCCTTTCTCGCACATCAACTGATTGTTGGAGTTGGCAGTTGGTCACTGCTCAAAAATACAACATAATCAATAAACAATATATTATATAATATAAACGCATTACATTAATTTCTGGACAAACAACTACTAGAAGTAGCCGAAACTCATAAAACTTAATGCGTAATACCTACTGCTGTGGGTCATTAGGGAATTATAACAAGTGAACGTGCTTTGACTGGGTTAAAATATGTAAATCCAAAAGCGGAAATATACGTATAAAATCTTACCCGCCGTGTGATCTTGTAGTGGACCTTTGACTGCGGGACCTCCTTAGGGACTGTACTCGTCTCTGGCGCCTGGTGCACGTATAGCAACATACTTTCCAGTAGAGGAACCTGAAGGAATGCGCCATTATGTCGCCGATATTTGACAGGCATAGGAGCATCAGTGGTATACCGACAATCGCGTAAAATATAGTGGCTAATTTTCCATTCAGGGTTTTTGGAGCAATATGACCGTAACCTGAAACGAAAAATTCTTAATCACCAGCAATACCTTTCCATATATTATTATAAATATTTAGATGATATTATGCGGTTTTAAGCGCACATATTGACATGACGGACTCATTTTTCTAGAACCACAAATTATTGTTTGAAATTTATTCGAACAATTCCATTTTAAGAATATATATATATTCAATATTCTATATAAATATCAACTTCTTGTAAACAAAATACTGCAAAAATCAATTAAATGAAGAATATTTTCATAAAAAAAGTATCATGATCAGTCAACTATCGATACACCTACATCGAACAGGGATTTCGTAGGTCCCTTATTAAACATAAACAAGTAATTTTAATTATTCGCCTAGAGATTGAAACGGGGGGTAAATGGAAGATAACCACTTTTATTGTTATTTATTATTATCGAACACTGTATGACACCAAAGTTCTTTAATTAATACCTGGTGAATATTTATCAAACGCGTTTATCTTAAATGTCTTATATGTGCCACTAAAGTGGTTTCATAAAACCATCGGGCCAAGTGCAGTTCTACTGATTAAAGTTTAAMAATAGTTAAAATGGATTTCTTATTTTAACAACAAAGTCTGTTTAATTAAACAAAGTTCTTTTTTATACCAAGATACTGTAAAATAGGTCGACTGTAGAAAGACGAAAATAATGTACTGTAATCAAACTCGGTAAATCAGACACAATAAGTAACAACCTAAAGTTTAAAGTAATCTCAATTAATTAACAAAAAACATTCGCTTAATAAATATTTGTAATCAATCATGTTTTGTTATTATTATATAATAATAAAACAACGTGATGATCAAAAAACTAATATTTTTTCACGTAAGTAAAGTTATCCAGATTCCTAATTTATCTCATTTTGAGGTAATTTACATGCAGCTAATTTGCAACAGTTTTCCACAATGATGAACAACTTGTAAATTTGCAACACATTTTTTCCAAAGACACAGACTTATATAACTCAGAAATTCCAATTTAACGTGATACCACTACTTTGTTCGTACGGTTCCAAATCAGTATCAACTCTGTTACATAGTTTTTAAGCGTTGTAACACATAGTCTACAATCAATTGCATTTAAGAAATAAGGAAATTTTTCGGTGATACTCAATAAACTGTTTCTTCTTTTTACTTTTGAGAGAATTTTTAAACTTACGACAGTAGTACAATATATTTATAACTTTTAAACTTCTAAATAATGAAAATTTAGTTTACTTACCTAATCGTAAAATTCCAACAAATTCAAATTTCAAACAATTTAGAAATATCTTCGTACTTTTTTTTACTCGAACCATTCACAATAGAGCCCAAAAAAAAAAATCGTTCCCAGAATCGTATAAATTAATTTATAAAATGCAATGTTTAGTCTAAAATTAAATAACAGAAATACAAGATACAATTTAGTTTAACTATAAATACACTTCTACAAGAATTCGTTTTTCAAACTATATCGAACTATTTGCCTAAAAGTGTATTTAAGAACTGAGGAAACGTTTTTCACTACATATAGTATACATAATGGACTTGAAAAAAAGTTACAGAAAAATGACACAAAATTAAAAGAGATAATCTTTAAAACTTTCGTGTCAAACAATGTTACTTAACAGTTTATATCATTATTTATAATAATGTTATATTCCAAATTTTATAATATGAATATTGATTATAATTTAACACTAATTACTTCTTATAACTTGATTCATTAACTTTTTAGTAATTATTATTATCACTCAATCATGATAATTAAAATTAACTGAAATTAAAATATTGGGATTTTATAAAGATGTTAAGAATAATAAATTTTAAGTAATTGTATTTTATCGAAATTAAGTACCTATAAAAATATATTATGCAAAATTAATTAATAAATAATTTTATGTGTAACTAAATTACTTGGTAAAATGCAATAAAACTGTATGAAACGTTAAACAATTAGTTTAATGACATGGATTGTTATTACGATACTTTGTATGCGTATAATAATATTATTTGTCTAGTTTTATAACAAACTACCGAATTAATTACTATTCTGCTCATTAAATTATAATGAAAACTAATCTTTTCAAAAAATTTTGTTTTTTTTATTTATTAAAATTATAATTTAATTGAAAATGTATTTTTAGTCAAGCCTAGCTTATTACTTATTTATAATAAGTTATTCTATAATTTTTAATATTATATTGTGTGMACTGTACAGAAGAGCTTACCTTCAGTAACCTATATAGAATAAGGGTTACCTAACGTTTTACGCGTTATAAACACTTTTTGTCATAATTATTACCAAAACCAAAAAAAAATCTTACTTATCATAAATTACTTATGTATGTAGTACAAAAACTTTTTGCACAAGTCTTAAGACATAATACTTGATATTACCCATAAGTAAATAGACATAAATATAGTTTTTAGTATTATTTTAAATTTTCACTTAATTTCTCTACATGATATCATCACTCGTGATGAATTTCGAAAATATAAGACCAACAAAATATATAATAATCATATAACAGTTATTAGAAATTAAGAACAAAGGCAATTTTTATTTGACAAAAAAATAATACGTATCGTGTCTTCACTTTAATCGCTCTCAGCAATCGACAGATCTAAGCGGACAAATTGATTTTCATTCACTTTCCGAAGTGAAAACGACGACTCACGCAATTATAATCTTAAATTTTGTATTAATTAGCCATGACCTGAACATATACAGCAGAGGAAAAAAATAATCGAATAAAAAATACATCCTCACGTGTCACAGCGCAACTGCGATGTATATCGAGAGATTTGTAACGCTCTACATGCACGTCGCCTGCGTCGTCCGCCTAAAAATCCAACCAAATAGATAGGGGTTTTAGTATCGAAGAATGACCGTTTTTTTGCTATCGAGAAATTAATAATTAACAGTTTAATACACACATATATCCTGTCAACCTAAATATGCACGCAGACTTCACGCTTATCCAGTGATCGATGATTCGTAAGTTTTTTAATTTAGGTATATCATATAATATTGTGTATAGCCTACTTGTCGTTATGTGTATCGATCGTCGAGTGCATTGAACCACGAGAAGTATTTTTTTTATCATTGTTATTATTTCACCACCTAGACAGCAATAATCATATAACGACGCCAACAGATTTTACTTACGAAATCACTCTGTAAACCACTGCAATACAGTTTACTAGATGATTCAACAAGCATGCACTGCCCCCTTCTATCCTTCAATAATGCATATATTAAAATACATTTGGTAATTTTCAAGTATGGTATTCTGAAAGAACATTATATTTTCAAATGTTCAGACTTTTTTTACACAATTTGAGGAGTGTCCTGTTGTAGAAATACGATCTTCTGTTCTTATCTTCTTTTTTCTGTGAATTTTTAAATAGATTGTTTTTCTGAATCAAAATTCAAATGAGTAGTTTCTTAGTTATTAAACTTTATGTACTTATACTTATAACTAATATATCCCGATTATAGGCCTATAACATTTTAGAAGTATGATAATTTTATTAGTAAGTTAACTAGMTATTACACATCATTATATTTTATATTTTTGTAAAAATCTATGATTTAAGGTCTATTTATTATCATTAGTAGATAAAATTGAATTACTTTAAACGATCAATATTCATTTTAAATGCATTGATATATATTTATATGTTGTTGAGTAGTTCTCATTTAAATTGTATCAGGCCACGGCCTACATAACACGTCATCATAAATGGTACAAAAAAAACTCATTCTTTGAAAATAATACGACCTTTAATTGAACCGATAATATAAAAAAATCAGAATACGTTCAAAACGCATTATGTCAGGATAAAAGGGTAATGAGCATCATTGTTGACGAATGAACATGTGTGATGTAATGTTTATGTTTATATTGTTTAGTCCAAAAATATATTTATACATATTATATGGAAATACGCGTTGTTTCTCAGGATGAAGAAAATGTAGGAAGTCGTGTAGGTAGGTACAATATACAGAAATTACGACATCGTTTCGATCTGTTACTTGTTGTTGTGCATAATATAGGCTTATTTTTATTGTAGGTATATAACGATTATTGTTATTATTTTATTTTTCACAATCGGCAGACGGATACGTGGGCGCGCCATCGTCGGTTTCCATATAAATTATATTATCGCAACAATGACCTAACTGTGTTATCTTCTATATTGTATAGTTGTTTAACTCAGTGGCTCGCAAAACAATAATATTATATATACACCGGACGACTTTAGCACGCATCCCAAATTCCAAACCATTGTTTTACACTTGCGATTCACTACAAAAACAAAAAAATACCGAAATATTCACTCGAGACTGACCACGTCACTGACCCAACAGACTTTTACAATATAATCGATAACATTCGATTCAAAGTCTTTCAACCATAATAGCTGTAATCTGCTTTCAAAATAAATTTAAATCCTTGTAGCCATAAAATTCGGTGGTGAAAGACATAAGTGCCAAAATGAGATAAGAAAAAAAAGTTACCCAAAAAAAAAACTATACGTTCAAAAGTGCCAAAATCCTAGGTACCTATGTGCCACGGTGAATAGATATTAAATTTAAAACTAACTAATTAATTAAATTTATATTGATTTGCATATTTACCTATATCATAATTTACTATTGAAATTTTTTTTATAAAATCGCAACAGATTTATTAAATTTAAATTTGTTTGCATGTATATTGTAATTTAACAATTCATTATTAAACAAAACATTAAAATATGTAATATAATTTTTTATAAGATAGCAATTTTTAAATTACTATCTATATAAAATATTAGTTTTGGCCCGAATGATATGTTATTTTTGTATCTTTGGCGCTTATGTCATTCAACTATATTCAGGATCCACTGCACTATACCTATATACATGCACATAATAATCCTTTTCGCTGGCCTTTACACTACACTCACCAAGTAAAATACGCAAGTGGAATCATTGTTTTATAATACAGGGTG